CCCCAAAACCCCAAAACCCCAAAACCCCAAAACCCCATGAAACCTTGAATTCAAAGTCTTAGTTAAAATCATAAATTTTTAGAATTAATAAATTAATTATATGATTAATTCCTTGATTGTCATATTATTTCTAGTCCAATTAATATTCATTTGCTATTCATACCTTCATTATTAAAGGGTTCATAATTTTATATTCCTTATACATTTTCATCCTCACTATTTAATTTTATTCTCACCTCATCTAATTTGTCAGATTATTCATTATTCTCTTAACTATTACTGATCTCAAGACTAGCATAATCTTTGTTTTCTCCCGAATCATTCGAATCGATATCATCATTTCTATATGGTATTTTGCTCTAAATTTTAGTCATTGTTGCCTTTTTACTTTATTCAAAATTCAAGACCTCATTATCAACTTAATTTTAACTCTCTATAAAATTTTCAACTGCATTAGCATTGTCATTTATTTTTTCACTATTTCTTGAAAATTCAACTATATTGGACTATTATTTATTTTATGATATTTTGTGAGTCATTTTCTAATATTTTATTTCATTATTAAAATTAGCCTAAGGTATACCATCTATTTAAAGTTCATCTTCAAAATCTATTTAATCCTCTTAGTTTTCTGGTTCATAAACGACTGACTATCCTTAAAGGAATTCTTTACTATTATTTTCTTATCCAACTTTTACAAATGATTATGTGGAACTAACAATTGTACTTTAGTTTCTTAGTAGTTATTCATCATCATTGATATCTTTTATTTAATTTTATTTTTCATCATCTTTGGCCATTTACTCAAAAAATTCTTCATTAGATACTGTATAGACATCTCTTTTTTTTCTTGGTGATGATTCTTAAAACTCAAAGACTTCCTAGATAGGCTCTTTTTTCTCTTAGTTTGCCTTTATTTCATTATATTTTTGATCATTTATGAAGTTACTATTTTTTCTTCTAATTTATTAATCTTACTCATTTAATTTTAACAACTGATCTTATTGCTAATTTAAATTTCTGTCTATAAAATTTGAAGTTTTTTTCTATTTAGATTATTAATGGAAAACTTATGGAAATTCTTAATTTTCCATATACTAATTGGTTAAAGTTTTCATTTTTTTAAAAATGCATAGGGATTCTACAGTTTATTAATTTTGATTATTATTTCTTTTACGCTTCTATTTGTTTTTAAATGTTAGAGCAACATCTGATAAATTTTAAAACTACGAGGTTGTTTTCTGATTAATTGAATTCTTGGGTGCAATGATGCTACCTTAATCTATTGTAATGAGTTTTAAATCTTATAATTAGTAAGGTATTTCAATAGTAAATACAATTGAATCTACCACTGTGCTAATCTAGATCCTTTCATCAATACTTTCTAAAATTGATCAAATATATTGATAGTCTGGACGTTTGTCAAAACTACATTTTTCAATTGTTTTAATCAATTCTAATAATTTAATGATTCTATCATCTTCGAAATCTTATCTTTTCTCAAACATCTCAATTTTCTTCTGTAAAATTGAGCTTGACAAAATTTGTTGCTAAGCGTCTTTTGCATTATAGTTTAATGATTCTTCATACCAAGGCAATTTGTCCAAAATAAGTGTCATTGCACAATAAATCATCGATATTATATCATCTCTGCGAGATAATTCATAACCTTAATGATTGAATGATGATGCAGTATATGTTGTACCTCTCAACTACTTCCCTGTTTAGAGTGAGATATGTTGATTATCTCTAAGCATATACTCTCGTGAAGTTCCGAAGTCTATGATCTTTATTGAATCATTTTTAACCATAAAGTTGTTAAGACTTATATCCCTGTGAATTATACCAGCATCATGAATCTGCTGTAAAGCATCAAGCATTCCCAAGAATATTTTTGAGATATTTAAACTCTACTTTTTCCTCTGATAATAATCAGCCAACGGTTCATCTAAATAGCTCAGCATAAGGTAATTGTAATTAATTTCCTTTCCCTTCATTGCATGTTTTGCTAAACCATGATCAATATAAGCAGGCTCAAAATTTACTTTGTTTTTGCTAAGCTTTTTCAAAATCAATGATTCATTCAGAATAGTATTCACTTGGAAATTGCCATCAGTTTTCTCAAATTTAATTGCTACTTTAATATCATTTTTTACATATAAGCAAACACATCCGTATCCGCCTCTACCTAAAATTCTATCAAACTTAAATCCCTTCATTAATGGTGGGTAGCACTAATCATCTGAATTTTCCTATGGTTATGTTGATAATCTACTATAATTTGGTCTCATTATAAAGTTGTTTAATTCTTTTTAATCTGTCACTATTTATTATTACATTTTCTTTCAATTTATATTTATATCAATTATTTATTCTTTAAGAATCACTTTTACCCTAAGGGGTTTTGGGGTTTTGGGG